ACACTTAAGAATTTAAAATGATAAAAAAAAACATTTGTAGTTATGAGATTTTTATCGATGCCGTCCTTAGGAACAAAATTTTTATGTTGTTCCAATAGTCCGCACATGGATGAATAATAAGGAACTCTTCGATCATTAGGGCTCAAAATTGGAAAAAAAAATGTGAAATAAATGCTCTAAATACCGATCAATATATATAAAAAAATCAGTTTTGGCTGATTGGCACTATTTTACCTAATTGCCAATTTAATCTGCTTTAATACAAATTAATTAAAAAAAAATTTTTATTGCATCGGGGAATAAAGGAAATTTGGAAACATATGAACCTAAATACAATATAGTAAAAAAATATATAGTAAAATATAGTAAGGAACGGTTAAAATGCGAAAATCTTTAAAGTGCCGACCATTGGTGCTCTTACCCTATATGAACAAGAAAATGGTAATGCTCTAAAGAATCATGTGGTATGATGATAGAACCCATGACCTGTGTACGAGGTGATACAGCAGACGCCAAATAAATATTTTTTTTGTTATAAAAGTTTTTTTGCTTAAAAATAATGAATGATCGAATAGATTAGTTCAAGGAGCGATGGTTCATATTAAAAACATTGGTTCAAAACGTTTTTAAATAATAAATTAAATATGCGACCAATTTGAAATTAGATACCAAGCTTTGGTGATTTGTTATTACCCAAGAATTTTTTTTAAATATGTAGAAATTGATAACACACCTTTTTTTTTAGAACAGAAACCTTTCCTTATTCAATTAATAACACCTTTATAAAATATAAATAAAACAAGATTTTTCCGGCGTACACATTTTTTTCATAAAAGTATCAACATCCTTCGCCAAACCACCATGCAATAATATCATGATTCAGAAAGCCACAAGTATTGTTAATCAACCCTAAGATCACTTTGCTGATCTAATTGTTGTCATTTTTTTTGGTTTGGGTATGCATTGTAACGAAAAATGCATCCAAAGCCCATGAAAGGAGAACACATCAAGTCTATTCGTTGATAATAACAAAACAAATTCTCCACACGCAAATGTTTTATATATATTTAATTGAATTTCCACGTAAAACCACCACTTGATGCATTTGTCAGAATATTTTAATATTGTCACTCATTCTTGTTGTTGTAACCTCTCGTTGCACGGTGGGTAATAATGGACGTAAATATAATATGCCTACATCCCAATATGGCATGAATCAACACCCAAGATAATATTTAAGTATTCATGTAGTGGGCAATTGCAAAATTGAATTTATCATGTTCATCACTATCAACAGTATGCACTATATATTATGGGTGATACAGGTAGCAAAAAAAAAAACACAACACAAGGTGTAAAGTGGCAATAATATAGACCCGACACTTTCCATGTTATAATAAAGCACACTGGTATATATTTCGATATAATTATCCACATAAAATGTCACTTGGGAAATTCAAGAAATTTTCTCACAAACTAAATTACGAACGTCAACATACCTGTGTTTCTTAATGCTTCCGCAATAGTGAATATATCACCGTCACAAATAAATTATTTCTTCGAAGATTTCCAATGGATGTCAATACGTGGTGAAACAATCCCTTTACTTTGTATATAACGTTTTCGCCTTCGTTGCATTTAACGCCCCACAGAATTCCATTACCTAGAAAAAGAAAAAAAAAACATAATTAATAATATAGAATTATAAAAAGAAAATACAAAAAATGATAAACAGCAGGGTGCCCGATGATATACCCGATTTTTTTTAATTGAACAAAAAGAAAAGACCGAAAAGAGGGAAAATTCGGCGTCGTCCCCGGCAGTATAAAAGGACCCCAAAGAAAAAAATGCGCTCTCATTTGAACAGTGGTGCGATACGATAGTTTTTCGGAAAATAAAACAAACTCAAATATTAGTTTTTTAAAAAAGGCCTAAATCTGCCTTAATTGATTTTTATTTATGTTGTGGGCGTTAAAAACAGATTGTAAGTGTAAAGTCATTGTGTAGTGTGTGATTGTGTCGACTTATGTTGTTTTTGTGCGTTTTTTATTTGTTTGCAGGGTACCGCCAATTAGCCAAAAATCTGAGGCTTCAACTGACCTCCCCAACAAGTATAAAACGGAGAGGTCAGTTTTTATTTTATCGGCTACAAAAAAACCGCAAACCAGCAACAGCGGCAACCACAGAAACCTCTTTGGCGAAAAATCACTGCCATTGCATCGGCCACACATAATCGCCGCTACAACAGCCACCAAATTGGCCCCAGCCACAATAGGCACGGCAACAACAGCAAGCGCCAAACTACCGGGTTCTGCCTAATCCCGAGGAAGACGTCGGCTGTAGGTGTGCTAAAAAGGAATAAAACGGAAAGGTTACCAATTATTATTATTTTGGATTAATCCAGGTAACGAAGATATTACTTACCAATTCCATATGTAAAACTGGCATCGCCACCATAAGAAAATTGAATAATCACCATAAGAAAATTAAATAATCTGAAAAGAAAGAAAAGAATAGAAATATGTTATTTACAAAAAAAATTAAAAATTATAAAAAGGCATAACCAAAACTAAAGAAAACTGAAAAATATGAAAATTTTAAAAATCGATTAAAACTAATAATATTACATAAAAATCTATTTAAACTCTTAGGTTAAATCTAGGTTGAGTTGTGTTGTCCATAAGTGTGTGTTACTTAATGATTCTAAATATTTGTTTGTAAGAAGCATTAACTAGGTTTTTTTCTTGCGATATAATGATTCTAGGGTTGCCCCAATTTATGTAGTGTTTTTTTGTTCATTGTGTGGACGAATTATTATGTCCAATAAAAACCTACTAAGCGAGCTCCTTTAGGCAGGTATAACCATTTTAATACTTGTGAGATAAGAGCCTATATTGGCATTATTTTTATCCACATAAAAAAGGGTAAAAGTCCTAAAATTTAATGAATCCTAAAATTTATGAATTATAGTTAATGTTTCATTCTTATCGTGTTTTATCTATTAAGGAAATTATGTCAATAAACTGTTTTTGATTTGTTTGTTAAAAATAATATGATGTTCTGATTGTTTTTGTGAGAGAGGAGAGTTAGGATATTGTAATGAGGTGAGTGTACATGGAATTCGGGGCCCTTAAAAATGTTGTTATTTTTAATAGGATCTAAGGGTCAAGGTAGGGTGGGCAAGTGTGGGAGTAAAACCACCAATCTCCCTTGTTTCAGGTGTACCAGGTGTTTGTGTTGTATAGTTTTGTCTTTATTTATGTTTGTCGAAATAAAAATTTAATTGTTCGTCCTCTAGGACTATTGGTGTCTGGGATGGAACCGCCCTGATTATTGGCTCCTGAGCTAGCGGCCACAGATACACCATAGTGCCGAAGTAGATGGCACGTAACAAATCTTATACCATATAAGATTTTTATATGTTTTTTATTTCAATTTATAAAATGAATTCAACCGTGTGATTTAATTAATTCAATATTTTTTTAAAAGCATAAACACCTCCAAACAAATTTTTAAAATAATATTCATTAAAAAATGTGGAAAAGTATTCTCCAAAAATATTAAAAGCGCTGGTTTGAAAGAAAACCCATGAATGCATAAGTGGTTCATTATTTAATTTTAGTATCAAAATATTGTCGAGGGTTTCAATTTGGAGGCTGGTTCGTCTTGCTGTCACTATTTCAGACTTACATAAAGTGAACGCAGAGAACGAGCTTGTTGATGCATGCTTTCCCAGCAGTACAGCAAACCAAACATCACAAAACAAACAAACAATGCACACAAACAACATCAAGTAAAACAACGGTATCACAACAAAAACATAAATAAAAATAAAAGAGTACTCGGCAAGAGTGTAATTTGCTCGATTTCGAGCGTATTTCACTCCCACTCGAAAACGAGCGAAGCACTTGCGCTCTTATTTGAGTGACAGAGAAAAATAGAGTATACTCTGTTTACTTTTTCTACTCGCAAGAGTACTCGAATTCGAGCGAGTTTCACTCTTTACTCGAATTCGAGCGAGTTTCACTCTTTACTCGAATTCGAGCGAGCATTTCGGAGCTCTGCTTTTTACATTAGTACCTATCTTTAGTTTAATATCTTAATATCTTTTCAATTTCACGTTTTCACACGTAAGTACGACATTTACCGAGGTTTTTTAGAATTATCGATTAATAAAATATCGAAATATATACCGGTTTGCCTTTTTATACGTAAGTACGACATTTACCGAGGTTTTTTAGAATTATCGATTAATAAAATATCGAAATATATACCGGTTTGCCTTTTTATACAATTTTCTTAAATGGAAATAAAAAATTTGAATGTTGTAAAAATTAATAAACAATTTTCATGATTCGTAGATAAATCATGATTAATAATTTCGATAAATGTTTACTGCAATTTGATATTCGATAAAAATGTTGAAAAGATCGTCAAGACTTATCGATTGCATGCCAATTCGATAAGTCAGTTGTCAACTTGGACACTCCAATACATCCAATATACAACACGTGCAACATACAAATCCACAGAATTAACACAAATAACAACATAAATACAAAATAAAAATAAAAATCTCCTCCAACATGAGAAGTAAACAGAAAAAAACTGTTCAACCGGACAGCGACAGTGATTCAAGTATGAACGAGGAGGTTGATAGCAAGCAACAAGAATTGGAAACCGATTCTGATGATGACCAGGATGAGATGGAGGAAAGCCATAATCAAGCTATGACGGATAGCTCCGACGATAGTGGTGACGATGATGAAGAAAAACCTACAACAAGTAAAAAGTTAAAGAAGTCAAACGACGTCGATGTTGAAAATTCCAATGATGAGAACAACGATGACGACAATGATGAGGATGGTGACGAAGATGAGGATGACAACGAGCCCGAAGTAAGAATGCCTGTTCTGAATCCACTAAGCCTAATGCGTAACAAGGAACAACGCATGGCATTGTTTCGAAAAATGAAGAAGGAAAAACACAAGAAGAAAATGCAAGAACGCAGAGCTAGACGTAAGGCTGGTGTACCGGCAAATCCCGGTCACACTATCGAAAGTTTAAGAGAAAAAGATCAAACAACTGTAACGAATCTCGACGATTCGGACAATGAAGAATTGCGTAAAGAATTGCAATTGGACGATTTCAGTTCGTATTTTGAACGTTCTTACGAACCGAAAGTTCTCATAACATTTGCCGATAATCCGGTGACAAAAACACGTAAATTTGGCCTGGAATTGGGAAGAATTTTCCCGAATGCTCTAGTGAAAATTCGTAACAAGTCATCGGTGAAGAATATTTGCAAATCAGCCATACGAGAAGAGTATACCGATGTTGTCATAATTAACGAAGATCGTCGCCAGCCAAACGGTTTGTTGGTAATACATTTGCCCAATGGACCGACAGCTCACTTTAAAGTATCCAATGTAAAACTTACCTCAGATATGAAACGTGATCACAAAGAAATAACTAAACATCGCCCAGAAGTTATTCTGAATAATTTCACGACACGTTTGGGTTTGACAGTGGGTCGGATGTTGGGTGCTCTGTTCCATCATGATCCCGAATTTAGAGGACGTCGTTCGGTTACGTTTCACAATCAGCGCGATTACATATTTTTCCGTCATCATCGTTATGAATTCACCAAGGATGGCAAACGTGTAAAACTTCGTGAATTAGGTCCACGTTTTACATTGAAATTAAGGTCTCTACAGGAGGGGACATTCGATAGTAAAACAGGTGATTACGCTTGGATTATTACCAATAAGAGACACGCCCTGGAAGCATCGAGACGTCGTTTCCATTTATAGATTGATATGATATTCGTATTCAATGGTTTAGTTTTGTAAGAAAGTTCGTAATTCTATTAAAAATGTAATGCATAAATACATTGTTTTTTATTAGTAATAAATAGATAAAACTGAAAATAAATATTTTTTAATATTTGCTGTAATTATAAATTAGTGCATCACCAAAAAACCAAGTTCTGTACAGTTTTTAGACATTGTATACCACTGGAAGACATGTTTTTCTCTGTGTATGAATAGGAACTTTTAGTCTCTAAATATTAAAAGAACTTCGGGTAATGTGGACTACCATTTTCTATAATAATGGTATTGCTTTATAGGTATTTAGGAAAAAACTCAAAACGTGTATTTCAACCTTAGGTAACAATGAATGCAAAAATATATGGGAGCTAGTTTTGGAATAGCTACCAGTTCAGAGTGCTGCCCATTTAGTACTTTTCCCCCCAATAAACTAAAATTTAAAATGCATATTCTTATACAACACATATAATAATAAATATTTATAAATACATTATAAAATTGCTTTGTTCTGCGATAAGGAAAAAGGTCATTCGATATAACGATATTTCCGTTTTTACGTTGAGGGCTGACAACATATAAATCGTTATATCGAGATTCTACTGTATTTTGAGAAAAACCAAGTGTTCGAATCTTGTGCTAGAAAAATGTTTAAATCACACACATTTGCAATCGAACTAAACGTTTCTACATTGCAATTATATATTTAATATCATGTTTGATGTTTGTTTCACTAATTAGGATAACATATATCAAGAAGGATTTGTCATATTTCAATAATTTTCTAAGATATGAGGGTGGTTCCTCTAACGATTGATATTCACGCTCAAACATGTTATAATTATCAGTTTAAAGCAGTCGTGAATCTTATGTACAGTCGAATTTGGTTAAGCGAAAACGCCTAAGTTCAGAAAATGTTTCTTCTCTTAAGCAGGATTTTCAATTAAAAGAACTTCGGATAAGCAAAACTCGTTGCGCTTAAACGAAGCTTTCAATCAATATCTGCAAAATCGTGAAATTTGAAAATCATATTATAAAATGAATTGAGTAAGAACTTCTTTTTTTCGTAGACATTTACTTGGAACGTAGAAAAATCTTATACAGATTTTTAATTAACCGGATTTTCTTTTAAGCGAAGTAAAGTGTTTGAAAATTCAGCCGAAATATTAGTTTAAAATTTTTAGTTTCAATTAACAGATTTTTTCGATAAACCGGCGTTCGCTTATCCGAATTTGACTGTAAATGGTCGTTTGTTTAAGGTCGGTATTTTGAAAGAATTTAATATTAATACATACAGACTATGACATGCAAACTTTTAGAACCATATGATAACGGATAATCAGAACTGTATACTCACCAAACGCGCACATGGATTGATTAGCTATTGGGATATAAACAAATCTTGGGAAACTTAATTTTTCACTCTTAGGCCTTTACGTTTTTTCCAAATTACACGTGTGATTTACGCCCGGGCATAACTCATTATCTCTAGAATAGACATAAAACGAGATCTATGCAAATTTTGGAACACGAATCGCCGTTTTTTGTGCGACCGAAGTACTGTTGGATTTCATAGAACGATGCTTCACTTTAAAGAAACGGGGTGATGCATGTACCTAAGGTTTTAGGCCTCCATAGAATTTTCTTTTTTCTTATTAAACTTCTAAACATTTATTTACTAAAGTTAATTATTTTATTAAAATTTTTCGAATAATTAAAAATTATGTAAATTACAACAATTACATATGTTAACCGAATAATTTTTGAAATATAAAATTTAGAACAACACCGGCAATTCAAATTTTATCTTTTCCTGTACTGCAAGAATCTACAATGTTTTACAAATTTTGTCGATATCATAAAAGAAAAGTTGTTATCGTTGTAAAAATCTAGGAAATTCTTGTAGCACGGGAATAGACAATACGTCTACAAACTGATTTGATTAATTTTGCCATAATAAATCTCAAATCGTTCAAAATCTCAATTTTCTTAATCAATTCATCTATATCTATGCTGGAATTTTCATATTTATATTGTCCCGCTAACTGAAATAGACGTTTATTTTCACGCATTCTTTCTAGCATTACCAATTGCGGCAAACGTTTATACGCCGGCAATTCTTCATCATTGCTAAGAATTACAGAGAGTAATGTTGAATTTTCTTCGGATAAATTAAATTTGTTTTGGTAGGTAGCTGTTGGTTCGTCCACAATTAGTATGTGATCATTCAAATTTGCATTAGCTTCTTCCATCAATGTCCCCTCAAGTTCGCTGTATTCTTCAAAATCGATTTTCTCGGAATTTTTCTTTTTCTGCATGCCATGATCAGTTCTTTTAAATTTCGGATGCTGTTCCAATAGCCGAAGCAGATGACATTCATATTCATTGAGATCATAATAGTATATACATTTTAAGACCCGTTTAAGGAAACGCCTACATAATTGTTCCGGTGTATAATCTCCATATTTTTCCAAGTTTTCTTGACTACTTCTCGGAAAATTTGACCAATATTCCGGTTTATCAACAAATAAAATACGGTGCGGTTGTAGAGCATATTTGATTTGAGCCCAATCGAATTCGTATAAATGACCATCGTCCGTACTTGTATTGTTTTCATTCCCGTCAATATCTTCCATTTATATTAGATTTTAATTCGATTTTAATTTATTTACGTTTGTAAATTGATGTACTTTTGTATTTTTGCGTTATTTTATTTTTTTTTTTCGTTCTGCCAAGACTCAAGCGACGTCGTACGCAAACCTTCTCCAACAAATGGTCTGTTCCAGTACTTTTTTAATAGTAAAGCTAGTAAAAGGGAAACATTTCAAAATAAGTCTCAGAGTACAAAATAATTTGAAAAGTTCGGGAACGCAAATCTAGTAAATATGCCAAAATTAGATGGCAATATCATTTACCATTTTTACTCGGCTAAACGAGTAAAAAGTTTATAAAGAGAAAGCCATTTTGTTTTGTGCTCTCTTAAATTTGATTCAATGTTTTACCAGTTTTATGGGTTCAGGAACGGTTTTCGAGTAAAAAGTTGCAAAACTTGTAAAATTAGTAGATTCTCTTAGGTTCTGGAACGGAGCTAAAATAAAAACGACGACTGAAAAAATTGAAAAACGTTCCACCTGCTAACGAATGGGAGGAGAAGACAAAATGGACGATAAAGATGAACTCAAAATGGTCAAAATGGTATAACCGAAAGTTTACGAATGAGGTGGATGGAGACTAAATGGAAAACCGTGTTGTTTACGAATGAGGTTTAGACAAATTATGATTAGGGATAAGTAAATCGACTTTTGACTAACCGATTAATAGACTTCCCTCTAAGAAAAAGAACGTAACGCAAAAGTAACGAAAACAGTCAGTTTATGTGCCGTTATTGAGTTACGAAAACGAACTGATTTTGCATTATGTGTGCGGATTTCATAACCGGTTTTGCTTATTGGGACGCCATGATGAAACTTGAATTGCCAGTTTTTTTTTTTTTAATTAAACATATTAGAACAAATTTCAATGTTAACAGGCCTACGTAAATTTCGATTAGCTCGTTCGACGTTATTCTCGTTATTCTGCCCCGGTCTGTTCCCGTACTACCATTTATATAAATGTTACCGAAATACGACGACGTATGAATTTTCAAAGAAACGAAACATAAAGAAAAACTACATTTTTCAAAAAGAATGTGAAATATTTGAAAACATTTTATAATTATTTAATTTTATTTCTCGTTTTTTTAGTCCGCTAATGCCATGTTCTGACGGGCATTCGAAAACGTAGTTCGCTCTCAGAATTACGTACATGAATTAACCCGTTCATACAACACTATTCATAATTCATGTCATCAGAGTTTTTTATTTCAAACTTTTTGTTTCTTGTTTTACACCAAAATTCTAACATATTTGCATGAATCACATATGGATCTAAATAAAAAATTAATTCTCTTTCTCCTGACTATAGTATGAACCCATATCTATTTACTTTTAATTCATGTTTTCCATTTTTTCTGAACATTTTCAATTTTACTAAAAAAGTTTGAAAATTTTATAAATATTTTCAAACAGTCAAAATTAATTCATTTTCGATAAATTCTCTCAATTGTTAGGGCAAATATATTCGTTATTCAGAGAGTGATTCGAATTGAACAATGTTCAAAAGTCGGTGTTCGCTCAGATAATTTTGTATGGGGAACTAAGTACAAGGTAGATTAATAGGGTAACCGTATCCAGGCAGCTGATGGTAATATTATATGTCAAATAGAATTTTGTTATTTTAATTCGCCCTAGATAAAAATAAACTAAATTTCAAATGAAAAACAATAAAAAAATGGTAAATAAATGTTATAAAATAGTTAAAGAAGCAGTATAGTCGAACGGGTATACAATATGATGCTTCAGGTCCTTCCAAATATAAAAATGTTGTGGAGTCCGGTTCATAATGGTAACTTCAAAGCCACTAGAAAATTGTACAGACTGACGGGAAAATATAGCCAGATAGATTCAGCAACTCAAGGTATGACAAAACCGTACGACTAGGTCAAATATTTCGTGGCACTACATCTTATTTCAGTTTTTACAGCAACAAACAAAAATACAAATAATGCCTCCAAGGATTAGGAGAAATTTAATCAAAGATATGGAAGGACATTTGATTAGCCAAAGCGATGCAAATTACAGTTACTTCCGTTGAGTTTTCTAAAATGTAGACCAATATGTCCCATTCTACTAGAAGTTATGTCATTTGTAGAAAGAAAGATGTTATGGGCAAAGTAACGTTTTTTATGAGCCAGGCTCAATTTGGTCCGCTGAACAAAATTTCGTCTCAGTCAGACAAACATTGGGACTTTGGTGGAATATTAATAAAATAGGAAGAAAGAATACATAGGGGTTATATCTAAATCTAAACCTCCATTCAACCATTCCAATAAGGCGCGTCATTGGACCAAATATATGAGCTGTACCAAATTTCTTCCAATTCGGATCATA